CGCGCAGCACAGTTGATGCGCTGCTATGTGAACGGGACAGGAAAGAGCAGGCAGCTGCAGCTACCAGGCAGAGAAGCTGCGAGAGGAAAAGAAGCGGCTGCTATATAGTAAATTATAAACATGTTGTTTACATCCAATTATTGGCAGGGACAAATAGGTCCTTCCAAAATTTTGGTAGGGACATGTCCCTATGGTCTCTATGCAAACCTACGCCCATGTCTGATACGCACCTGTCTGGTCCTGTGCGCAGGCGGCGCACAGGACCAGGACCACCGGTAAGTGAAAATGGGGACGAGCACGTAGTCTGACATAGTGGAAAAAATGCAAATCTTCTTTTTGAAAGTATACTTGTATGAGTGATGCAAACAGCAATTTTTAAACAGAGCGTGCATGTGGAGAAATGGGCTTATGCACGCTCTCACACGTTTAATAGGTGTTCCCAGGGTTGTGCATGTGTATTTTTTTATCTTGTAAGTGGAGAGGGCGGATCTTTTCAAAATTTGCAAAAATTCTCCACAATACCTTTTAAAATTCAGTTTTATCTTTCATTTATAATAAAGCATAAAGTTTAAATGTTGACTTTATTAAAAAGCCAATTGAATTAAGACTTCTTGTGTTGTGTCTTTGTCAGGATGTATCGTCCAGAATGGTTGGGATTCCTCTTCCTTATGTTTGACAACAGTGAGATACAACTGTCTCACACATGCAGAACATGCCGAAAGACCCAAGGCCAGGAATCGAATCTGAGAGGTTCTTTCTGCAAGTCAACAGTGCTTAGACCTGCACCAATGCAGTTTCAGCACAGAAACGGATTTATAGTAAAAGCTTTTTGGAAAACTTCGCTTAGCAATGTATATATGTTTTAAAAATCCTGTCAATTGGTAGGTATTTAACTTGAAGTTAAACATTTCCATTGTCTACAATTAGTTGTAGATGTTCATTGGAAGTGTAAATTAAGACCTAATAGAGCTGAGATTGAGCAAAGCAAAACCTACAGAAATAGAGACATCATTAGGCATGGTATATATATATATATATAACTACAGGACAATTTTAAATGCATACGTTTTTTCATGTTGTTGACAGGGTTTTTCTTATTATAAATTTAAATCTGTCACTCTGCAATTGTTGTGTCTTCTGTATTTTTTTATCCATCAGTGCAGGGACATTATGTAAAAAATTAGGGATGCACGATATAATCGGCCCCCTATCGGTATCGGCCTGTATCGGCCTTAAAACTGAATATCGGACATCGGCCACCCCACCGATATTTAACCCGATATTTGATCAGCTTCTTAGTTTCTAAAGTCTAAAAATAAAAGATAAAAAAATACTACTACTTCTTCCTCAAAAACTTCTTTTTTTACAGA